TAGCCCTTTTTCTGGGGAGTCCTCCTTTGCTTTTGTTTGGAGACTGTTTCTGTGTCTCCCCATCTTAGCTCTCTCTGTTTGTTTGTTTGTTTATTTTTTTTTTTTTTGGTCTTCAGACTTTTCTTTTATTTATTTATTTATTTTTTTGTTTTTTAAATTGATTATGCTGTTACAGTTGTTCTATTCCCCCCTTCATTCCCCTCCACCCTGCCCCCCCATCCCCACCATTACCCCCCCTTTAGTTTATGTCCATGTGTCTCAAGTCCTTTAGGTTCTATATTTCCCATGCTATTCTTGCCCCCTCCCATCTATTTCCTATCTACTGTCTATGCTACTTATTTTCTGTACCTTCTCCCCCCATCTCCTCCTCCCACTCCCCTGTTGCTAACCCTCCTTGAGATCTTCATTTTTATATTTCTACTCCTGATCTAGCTGTTCTTTTAGTTTGCTTTCGTTTTAGGTGTGGTTGTTAATAACTGTGAGCTTGTTGTTCTTTCACTGTTCATGTTTCTTTAACTTCTTTTCCTTAGATAAGTCCCTTTAACATTTCATATAATAAGGGCTTGGTGATGATGAACTCCTTGAATTTGGTCTTATCTGAGAAGCACCTTATCTGTCCTTCCATTCTAAATGAAAGTTTTGCTGGATAGAGCAATCTTGGTTGTAGGTCTTTAGATTTCATGACTTGGAATATTTCTTTCCAGCCCCTTCTTGCCTGTAAGGTCTCTTTTGAGAAATCTGCTGACAGTCTGATGGGGACTCCTTTGTAGGTGATTGTCCCCTTAGCTCTTGCTGCTTCTAGGATTCTCTCCTTCGTTTTAATTTTGGCTAATGTAATTATGATATGTCTTGGTGTGTTTCTTCTTGAGTCCAACTTTTTTGGTACTCTCTGGGCTTCTTGGATTTCTTGGAAGTCTATTTCCTTTGCCAGATTGGGGAAATTTTCTTTTATTATTTGTTCAAATAATTTTTCCACTGGTGGTTGTGTCTTTCCCCCTTCTGGTACCCCTATAATTCGGATATTGGAGCGTTTAAAGATGTCCTGGAGGTTCCTAAGACTCTCCTCATTTCTTTGAATTCTTGCTCCTTGACTCTTTTCTGTTTGGCCATTATTTGCTTTCTTCTGGTCCACTCCATTGATTTGAGTCCCAGTTTCCTTTTCATCTCTATGGGTTTCCTGTGGAATTCCATTCATTTCCCTTAATTTAGCCTTCATATGTTTCTCTAATTTGTGGCTATAATCAACCAGATCTGTGAGGAAGCTGATGACCAGTGTTTTAAACTGTGCGTCTGAGAGTTTTGCTATTTCTTCGTCGCTTAGATTTATCTCTGGGGCTTTGAGGTCTTCCTGCGACATTTTTGGTCTGTTCTGGCCCTTTAAATGTGAGAAGCTGCGCCTTGGACTCCCAGGTCGCTGGGTTGTGACGCTGTATGTGGGGGCGTGGTCAGAGCGGGGAAATGGCGGCGCCCTCGCCCTCTATCGCAGTCGCCGCGGTCCAACCGCCCACTCCCTCGCTCGCGCGCAATTAGGCAACCGCAGTCAACTCGCTGCACTGCCTCCCCACTGTCTCCTCTGCAGTCGCTCACCCAGTGGGTTGCTCGGTCGCTCACTAGGTCCAATCCTGCGTTTGGAACCCGTGCGTCTGGATTCGCGCCCGGGTCCGACCGAGCCCTCCTTTGCAACTCACCAGACGCCGGTTTCGCCCCTTATCTGTCGGGCTGAAGAATTTGTTGTTAGCGGACTTCCGAAAAGTTCAGTTTTCCGTGTTCTGGTTGTGTTTTCTGATGCTAATATTTAGTTGTCCCTAAACTTGGTTGTGTGAGAAGGCACGGCACATCCACCTACACCTCCATCTTGGCAGAAGTCCTGTTTGTTTCTTTGTGTTAGATAGACTGATTTGACTCCTTGTCTTCTGGGGTGGCCTTATGTGGTAGGAGTCCTGTGGGACCCAGTGGTGCAATTTCCTTGATCTGAGCTGGATGCTCTCGGAATTTCCTTTGTGTGGATTTTGCGAACTCTCCTGTTGTATTGGATCCTCATTTTTGTTGGCTCTTTCTTTGGTGGGGTTTCCCTTCTGGCTGGTGACTGAGAGGCTCAATCCCCACCACACCTTGTATTCTGTTGTACAGGTGCTGACAGAACAAAGCAAAACAACACACAAAACAAGCAACCCCTACCACCACCACCAACAAAATCCGTGACAAAAGAGCAAGAATAATAAAAGTAAGAATAATAAATAAATAATAAATAATAAATAAATAATAAATAATAAAAATAAGAATAATAAAAGGAAAGAGAAGTTAAATAGTAGATAAAGAGGGGGAAAAAAAGGAAAAAGAATGAAAGAAGACCAAAGCCTAGAAAAGTGATGAGAAGAGAAAAGGAACAGAACCTAATAGAAGTAATGAATAGAAAGAGGAAAATGGAAAATGGGGACAAAGAAAAAGAAATAATAATAAAAATAAGAAAAGCAAAGGAGAAGGGAACAATGGAGTAATCAGTGGTAAGAGTAAAATAAGAGAAATGAAAGAAAAATTAGAGCAACAAAAGTAGAAGATAAAAATACAAAAAATAAAAAGGATATGGAAAACCGAAATACCAAAAGTAATGAAAAAGAGCAAAGTGGAATTCGTCTCAGCAGAGTTTAGTGCTTGCCTGCTGGGTCCTTCCTTTGGCTGCAGCTTTGCTGTTGTCTGAGGCAGGTGTAAGCCAATGTCAGATGATGTCCATGTCTGGCTCTTGGGAACATTTTCAAAGCTTCAAGTGGTCCACCGTCTGTGGCTGGTTACTTCAGGCTTTGTTGTGCCCAGGAAGGGCCTAGCTGCTCTGCAAAGTTAGTTTTTATTAGCACTGGGTCCAGGGGTATGTCAACAAACGTCCCAAGGCACTGCAGGATCTGCCTTTCCCTGTCTCTGCCTGCCAGCTCGCTGTTAGTTGTAGAGTTGTCACAGACCCAGCTGTGTCTGAGAGGGCTTCTGGTGTAATCAGGGTGGGGGTGGGGCATCTTCTGGATCTCCCATGGGAGGTGCCTTTTCAAATTATGGAAAGATTGTGGTGTGTTCTCCCACCCCTGAACCACTCATCTAAGTCTGTCCAGGATTATTTCCCTGAACTTGGCAGGGCAGGGCTCCTAGTAGGCTAGTGGTTGAGGCCTCTAGAGCTCATATTTTGGTTCTACCAGAAACCAGGACAGTATTCCTATGGCTATTGCATGAGGGGGAATGTGCCATCCTGGGTCCCAGGAAAGTATGGAATGGCTATACCCTAAAGCCAGTCTCTGACACCCATCAAGTCTGCATGTTGTTCAGCTTAACAATAACCCACAACCTTCGAACCAACTACACTGAGTTTGCATGTGTTCCTGCAGTAGGGGTTAAGCTGCAGGGTGGGAGAAAAGTAAGCAGAAAAGAAAAAATAAAACAAAGCAAAAAATAAAACAACAACAACAAAATGGTTCAGGGTGGGACCAGCAGGCTTACAGAGGTTGGGATGATCAGTATACCACAGGGTAAGGTAATTGCTTTTCCCTGGGAGGGGCTTCCTTTTCTCAAGAAAGATGGCTGCTGCATTACCAGGGTATATAATGGCGCAGAAATTTTCATGCTGTTCACCCACAGGGGTCTGCAGTGCTTCCCACTCTAGACTCTCCCTGTGCAACTCCAGTCTGTGCCCCCTTCCCTTCACTGGGGCCCAAGGTGAGTGGCTGTGGACAAAACCTGTGCTTTGGCTCCTTTAAGAAAAAAGTTAGTGGCTTTGTCTCCAGTGGGCTCCATCTCTCCTCAGCAGAAAAAAAGCCTCACGGCCTTTTACCTCTGTGTGTTATGTGGACAGCTGTTCTTGGGTCTGGCCATCTGTGCTTGTGAGCTCAGCATGTGGTCCCTGCTTCTTTTTCATGGGGAAGCTCCCATAGCCATGTTACAACCTTGGCCGCTGCCCGTGTGAATGGGGCCAGACCCTTTCACATCCCTGCCCTTCCTACCAGTCTCGAGGTGATTTTTGCCCATCCTTGGTTAAAAGTCTCTTTTGCAGGTAGTCTTTGGTTTATTTCTGGTGAGTGTTCTCTTTTATTTTATTTCCAGGTTGTTTCTGGGAGGAGGTGCATGACACATCTTCCTGCTCTACCACCATCTTTACATCCTCCTTATCCATAATTTCTTTAAATTTTTGATTCCTTTCTATTTTCTTTTGATACTTTCACTATACATATGTTGGTACAATTAATGCTTTCCACATTGCTCTTAGGCTTTGTTAATTTTTCTTTCTTTTTTTTTCCCCTCTTAGATTACATAATCTCTATTGATCCATCTTCATGTTTGCTGATTCTACCACCTTGCATCTACAGCTGAATCTGTAGTGAATTGCCCATTTCAAATGTTGTACTTTTCAACTCCAGAATTCCTATTTATTTTGCTCTTATTAAAAAATTATCTTTTTCTCTTTACTCATATTCTCTACTTGATGAGACATTATCATAGAGCTTCCTTTATTTCATCAAGCATGGTTTTCTTTGTTCTTTAGCCAAATTATAATGTCTGCTTTGAAGTCTTTGATATTTCCAATATCTGGGACCTCTCAAAGGTATTTCTTTTGCCTGCTTTTTTCCCCTGTGTTTGGCACACACTATTCTGTGTCTTTGCATGTCTTATAGGTTTTATTTTATTGTTGAATTCCCCACACTTCTCTTTCTAGTTTTCTGATTCTTGCTTAGAAATCATATAAAATACTTAAGATACTTAACATCAGAATATTGAGATTAAAGTATCTGTGAGTAAAGTTCTTAGACTCTGTAAAGTCTAGATTGTATGCAAAGTGGATCTATTACTTTTCTCTTGGCTATGAGTAGTTTATGAATAAATGAAGTTTGCATATAAAAGAGGTATTATCAAACATACAAATTTTTCAAATACTGAGGCCTTCGTTTGTAACATGACATTTACATTTACTTGTTCCTTTTGCGATACAGTAATTTTAGCTAATGAATGGTATTTCTTCCTTCTAGGTTACACCTATGTTTGAGGATTGGACTACCATTGATTGGTATCGATTCTTCTGTTTATGGGAGAAGCTGCCAACCTCCATGAAACGGGTGGCAGAGCTAGTGGGAGTTGAAGAAGGCTTCTTGGCTCGATGTGTGAAGGGAAAAGTAGTGGCCAGAACTGAGAGACAACACCGACAAATGGCCATCCATAAAAGGTAAATATCGAGGAGCCTGGACTGCCTAGTATTTAACGCAGTATTAGATATGCAGTAGGGATCTAGTTTATTGTAGTTACTTTCACTGTCATTAAAATTGAAGTTTTGGTGGCACACAACAGAATTTTTCAATATACTGTACTTTCTGAATGTATTAATATATTAGTTTCTTCTTGCCACTTGTAGTTTAGAAGCCATTATATGTGAAGACCTTTTTAAAATAGGACGTTTAATTACTTAAAGAAAATATGAGTCAGGATGCTTTAAGGAAAGGAAAGGCGCTCCTATAATCTTTAAAAATGATTCATTACTAATAGGGAAGAGCTAATTAAAGATTCAGATGGGGAATTGCACAGGCTTTTAGCTTTTTCAAAATACCATACAATTTTAATAGTATTATTTATAACATAGTCAAGTGAAAATTCTGGAAGGACTTATATACCTGAATTGTTTGTGGTACTATTGCCTTCTGAATAAAATTTTTTATACTCTAATTCTGTCACTTATTAAATATGATTAGATGATCCATGTAACTGTGTATCAAGTATTTTAAATTATTGTGCCATCACATTTCTTGAACCACATCTTATTCCTCAAAATTAGATTGTATTAATGAAACATGGAGGAAATCTTTTTGTTCTTTGAACTGTAGACATTAAGTTCTTTGCTGTAGTTCTAGTATATGTCAGATCTTACTTTATAAAGATTGAACTCAGTCTTTGTCCACTAATCCTATGTCTTGTTAGGAATCTTCTCAGAGTATATACCCTCTCGTCTTTTTTTGGTTCTTATTTGTTTTGTAACATAATTTTTATTTTATACCTTCATAGTAGACATAAGGGATTTACCATCATGCTTTTGGTGATTTACTTTCCAGGTTTTTTACCAGTCTTGTGTTATTAGATTTAATCAGCGAAGTTCCCTTAAAGGAAATTAATCAGAAATTTGGATGCAGTCGTGGGCAGCTTCAATCTTTACAACAGTCAGCTGCTGTTTATGCAGGTCAGTGAACCAGGTTTTCCACATTTCTGTAGGATCGTGGTTTGAGGTAAAGTTAAGATTGCTTTTATTTTTCAAATTCCACTTTATTGGAGGCTTCTCTTTGTTATAGGTGATTGTGTCAAGCCATAACTTTGTACAGCCCCTCACAGCGTCCGAACACCTAAAACTATGGCTCCTCTGGGCTCTGTGGCCCTGCTGGAGACAACCGGCCACCAGCAGTGTCTGGACCTTAGTGTCCCCTTCCATTCCTTAGCAACCTGCTGACCATCCTTGTTTTGTTTTGTTTTCATTTTCATTTTTCCTCCTACCTGTTGCAAGAAGAAACAGACACAAAGTTCTCAGCAATCTCCCTTTTCTAATCCAGTTACTGATTAATAGTTGCTATTGCGGAGGAGGAGGATGGCAAATGGAGAGGGATTTCTGGACTTCTGTCTGACTGTTCTTTTGTCTAAGGAAACAGTAGTCTCGCTTAATAAAATTAAACCCATATTCTGTAAGCTAGGCAAACAGAAAAGTTATGGATCTGATTTTACCAAGAAATCCTCGTAAGTCCTTAGAAAGGAAACCCTGGGCTGCTGGAGAGTGTGTGTATTGGGAAGGCATGTGCCATATATGAAAGAGTACTGACAGAGAGACGGGGGTGGCGGTGAGAATGATAAGAAGGGAGAAACTCACCCTTCAACTCACTGGCATCAAAGATCTCAGATTGCCTCTAGGGTTAGTGTTCTCATAGGAAAGTGATTTGGCACTTGGCTGCTCTGGCCTCATTATTTCAAGTGTTTGGCTATTTAGCTGGGCAACCTTTCTTTGCAGAAAATATCAATGAGAGCTTTGCTTTTTGAAGTTTTCTTGGCACTTAAATATTCAAACCAGCTCCTTTGTTTTTCTATAGGTGGAAATAGCTCCTTATCTGTGTTTAAGAGTTCTCTCTTCTTTAAAATAGTAAGGAAGAGAGACTGAAAGAAAGGAATGAATTAGGGTGAGGGCTTTTTGCTTTGTGGTTATGTGCTCCGCTTTGTTTTCTCAAATGTTGAGTACATAATTAAGAATAAATGGGGACTTCTGGCCAAGATGGAGGCACTGTACCACCTTGTACAATCAAATTTAAGGACAATAAAGAGTTAGAAACAAAAACACAACCAGAAGAGACAGAACATTGAACTGTACAGAAATCTGACAACAACGAACCATTCATCTAGACCAGTAAGAGGGGCGGAGTTGATGGCCAGCTGATACAGGTCCCAGCAGGAAAAGCCAGTGGTTAGTGACCCGAATGTGGGGAGGAAATGAGGTGTGCAAGTTGGTTGGCTGACCAAGGACACACATTCATGTGCAGATAAACCAGGCAAAAAAAAAAAGGGCAGTGAGACAGAGCCCTTTCTTTGAGACAGAACTGCATAACCCAGGGCCCCAGAGATGGGAAATAAAGCCTAAAAGCACCAATTGAAAAAACTTTCAGGGTTTGAGATGCTGGGAGAGGCTTCCAGCCTCACAGGAGAGTTCATTGGAGAGACCCACAGGGTCCTTGAATGTACACAAGCCTTTCCACCAAGGAACTAGCACTAGAAGGGCCCAATTTGCTTGTGGGAAACAGCAGAGGGGACTGAAATTCGAGAGAGAGTGGAACAAATGCCATTGCTCCCTCTCTGAGCCCGCCTCCACATACAGCGTCACAACCCAGTGACTGGGTTGCCCTGCCCTGGTAAACACCTAAGGCTCTGTCCCTCATACGTAACAGGTGCAAACAGACAGATCAAATGCTCTGTTTGAACATTATGGCTCAGACAGAACAGATCAAAGCCCCAGAGCCAATACTTTTAAGCAACCAAGAGATAGCCAACCTATCAGATGCACACTTCGAAACACTGATGATCAGGATGCTCACAGAATTGGTTGATTTTGGTCACAAATTAGATGAAAAAATGAAGGCTACCCTAAGTGAAATGAGGGGAAATGCACAGGGAACCAATAGTGATGGAAAGGAAACTGGGACTCAAATCAATGGAGTGGACTAGAAGAAAGAAAGAAACAACCAAACAGAAAAGAATGAAGAAACAAGAATTCAAAAAAAATGAGGAGAGGCTGAGGAACCTCCAGGACATCTTTAAATGTTCCAACATCCGAATTATAGGGGTACTAGAAGAGGAAGAGGAAGAGCAACAAGTGGAGAACTTATTTGAACAAATAATAAAAGAGAACTTTCTCAATCTGGCAAAGGAAATAGACTTCCAGAAAGTCCAGGAAGCTCAGAGAGTCCCAAAGAAGGTGGACCCAAGAAGGAACACACTAAGGCACATCATCATTACATTAGCCAAGATTAAAATGAAAGAGAGAATTCTAGAAACAGCAAGAGATGAGGGGACAGTTACCTACGAAGGAGTTCCCCTCAGACTGTCAGCTGATTTCTCAAATGAGACCTTCCAGGCAAGAAGGGGCTGGAAAGAAGTATTCCAAGTCATGAAAGGCAAGGACCTACATCCAAGATTGCTCTATCCAACAAAGCTTTCATTTAGAATGGAAGGACAGATAAAGTGTTTCTCAGATAGGGTCAAGTTCAAGGAGTTTATCATCACCAAGTCATTATTATATGAAATGTTAAAGGGACTTATCTAAGAAAAAGGTGTTAAAAAATATGAACAGTGAAAGGACAGCAAACTCACACTTACTAACAACCACACCTAAAACAAAGCAAACTAAGTGGACAACTAGATCAGGATCGGAGTCACAGAAATGGAAATCACATGGAGGGTTAGCAACAGGGAAGTGGGAGGAGGAAAGAGGGCGAAAAGGTACAGAGAATAAATAGCATAGACTCTGGGGAGAAAATAGACAGGGGGGAGGGCAAGAGTAGTGTGGGAAATGTAGAAGCTAAAGAACTTGTGACACATGGACATAAACTAAAGGGGGGGAATGGTGGGAGAGGGAGTGTGCAGGGTGGAGGGGAATGAAGGGGGAAATGAAACAATTGTAATGGCATAATCAATAAAATATATATATATTTTTAAAGATTTTATTTATTTATCTTTAGAGGGGAAGGGAAGGAGACAGGGAGAGAAACATCAATGGATGGTTGCCTTTTGTGCGTCCCCTGCTGGGAACTGGCCTGCAGGGAACCGGCCTGCATCCCGGGAATGTGCCCTGACTGGGAATCGAACCGCGATTGTCTGGTTCGAAAGCCTGTGCTCAATCCACTGAGCTACACCAGCCAGGTCAATAAAATATATTTTTAAAAAAGAATAAATGACCTGGCTGGTGTTGCTCAATGGATTGAGTTTCAGCCTGTGAACCAAAGGGTCATGGGTTTAATTCCCAGTCAGGGCACATGCCTGGGTTGCAGGCCAGGTCCCCAGTAGAGGGCATGTGAGAGGTAACCATACATTAGTGTTTCTCCCCCTCTCTGTACTTCTCCTCTCTCTAAAAATAAATAAATAAAATATTTTAAAAAATGAGTAAGATGGCATTTAATATGTTTAGCATGTTTGCTGGCCAGTTAAGTAGGCCCTTAACATATATCTACTTTCTTATTAACTTACACCTTGGGCCCGTTGAACTTTACAATTCTCCAGGGAAAAGGAAACAATGAAATAAAAGTATATCTAGTGAAACAGAGAATTGATGTGTAAAGAATTTTTAATTCATTAAATATTCTATGCGTATTCTAGGGATGATTACAGTATTTTCCAACCGCCTGGGCTGGCACAACATGGAACTACTACTTTCCCAATTTCAGAAGCGTCTTACATTTGGCATCCAGAGGGAGCTGTGTGACCTTGTTCGGGTGTCCTTGCTTAATGCCCAGGGAGCCAGATGCCTTTATACTTCTGGCTTTCTTACTGTGGCAGATCTTGCCAGAGCAAATATTGCTGAAGTGGAGGCTGTTCTGAAAAATGCTGTGCCTTTTAAAAGGTAAGAGAGTTTCCCATCTGCAGAGGGTCATTAAATGGAAAATCATATCAATTTATAAATAATATATACTGTATGAAAGTATTTTTTCTTTGATAATATGGTATAGTTGATGTAAGTGGAAGAAAATGTGGCTGTTTTTTCTCTCTAGGATTATTTTTTATTTTTTATACTTTAAAAATATTTTGTGACTTAAAAGTCATTTGTAAAAGTATCATAATTTTTCCCCTAGAAAGACCAAGTAAATGTAAGGTAGTGATGCTTTCTGCTTTGATGGATTTAAATTTTCAGTATATACCCAGGGCTTGTCTTAGACTTTCTTTAGGCAAGAGCACTTCAGAATGTACTTCTCTTGAATATCCTTTGGAAACTGGTCCTTCACAACAGTTGTAAGAGGATTCCTTGACTATTTTGTGCATGTTTGTAACCAGTTCAAAAATGGGCTGGACTCACCATGTAATCAAGGAATAGCTTAAGTATTTTCTCAAAAACTGTTCTCTGAACTCACTCTTATATGAAACCTCAGCCAGATCCATTGCTTTAGGCACTTACGAGTTCTAATGGTTTCATTTTCAGATATTAAAATTTTGTTTTAAATTTATAAAAGCATCAGTTTGATTTCCAGTTCAGTGTTTCTCCCCTGCCACTCAGTTTAGGCCTGACACGGGCTCCGAAACTTGTCACATGTACGGGAAGGGATGGGGCACAGTCAAAGGAGCAGCCCCACCAGTGCCTCCTCGCATCATGATTCTGCTTCCTGTGTTGCACTGCCACCCGAGATGTGACTCCTGTGTCACGGAAGCTGCACCCAGCTTGGCTCGGGCACAGAGCCAGCTACCTCTACCTAGATTTTGTAGGAAGAAATTGTGTAGAGTCTTAGAAACAGAATGCAGGGAGAGAACTGCCTCAGTGGGGGGCCACTGCAGAGGGCCCACTAGGGCTGTACCCAGTGGAGCTGGGGCTGGGGCCACTCCAGTGACCTCAGACCAGAAGAGCAGCTGGTATGTGGTATGCAGTTTTGTCACTTTGGGGTGTGCCTCTGGAAGAAGTCTACTTGGAGTATGCTTAAAAATCTTATAAAAGTGTTGTTCTCTTTTGGGGCCTTGGATTTTTACAGAATCTTTGGATATATTCATACCTGCTTAGAAATATGTACTGTTAGTTCCTGACATTAAAAAAAAAATCAGTTGTGGGAGTGTCTCTGTGGTAATGATATGCCATACATCATGACCTTTTCAGGGAGTCATTGGAGGGCAGTACACATTTAAAAAATTTAATTGGTAAAAGCTTAACTTATTTTAAAATAATTTTGTATTATTCTAAGACTGTTATTGTCATGGCTATGCCTCTTCTGAAAGCCCAGAACTTTATAGACCAAAATTAGTGGCAAATCAAGATCATGTGCCTTCTCATGTGACACACTGAGAAAGACACATTGCTCCTGAAGTGTTCTTCATAAAAAATGTCTAACATGAGTCAGACAAACCTAAAAGGAGAGACTTTCTACAAAATAATTGCCTAGTACTTTTCAAAAATATCAAGGCCATGAAAAACAAAGGCTGAGAGCTATTTGTAATTAAAGGAGGATATATAAGACTTGAGAACTAGTGCAGCACCTTATATTTTAGATTGGCTTAGAAAAATAAAGAGGAACAATTGGTAAAATTTGAATAAGGTGTGTAGGTTAGATATAGTTTTGCATTAATATTAATTTTCTGAATAAAATCAAGTGTATCTGGCACCTGGCCATCCTTTGCTTTTACTAGTTGATGTGTACGTATCAGATAACCTCATTTAGATCATCCCAAAGTTTGCTGTTACCAACAATCTGCGGTGAATCACCTTGTGCATGTGTATTTTCATATTGGTGATGAGTAAATTCATACACATGGGATTTCCAAAGGTGAATGCATATGCAGCTTTATTAGATTCCAAATTCTTACAATGCTGTTACCCACAGCCTCACCAGCAGAACCCATTGTTAGAGATTTTCATTTTACCAGTCTGATAGATGAGAAATTGTATCTCAGTGTGGTTTTAAAGTACATTTCTATAATTGTGAGTGGTGGTGAATATATTTTCATGTTTCAGGATTGTTTTTATATCTTTGTAGATGATCTAGTTATATCTTTTCTTTATGTTTCTTATGGATTTTGGTCTCTTTTCTCTCCTTTTTTAAAGTATATTTTATTGATTATGCTATTACTATTGTCCCACTTTTTCTCCCCATTGTGCCCCTCTGCCCATTATCCCTCCTCCCTCTAGCATTTCTCCCCATTAGTTCATATCCATGGGTCAATATACTAGTTCTTTGGTTTTTCCACTTCTTACACCATTCATAACCTCCTTTTGTCTATTTTGTACCTAACATTTATGCTTCTTATTCCCTGTACCTTTTCACCTATTCTCCCCCTCCCCCATCCCTGCTGATCTCCATTTCTGTAATTCTGTTCCTGTTGTAGTAGTTTGCTTATGTTTTTTCTTTTGTTTATTTGTTGTTTAGGTTCAGTGTTGATAGCTGTGCATTTTTTGTCATTTTACTCTTCATAGTTTTGATGTTCCTTTTCTTAGATAAGTCCCTTTAACATTTCATATGATAAGGGCTTGGTGATGATGAACTCCTTTAACTTAACCTTATCTGGGAAGCACTTTATCTGCCCTTCCATTCTACAGAGTAGCTTTGCTGGATAAAGTCATCTTGGATGTAGGTCCTTGCCTTTCATGACTTTGAATACTTCTTTCCAGCCCCTTCTTGCCTGCCAAGTTTCTTTTGAAAAATCAGCTGCTAGTCTTATGGAAACTCCTTTGTAGGTGGCTCTTTTCTTTTTTCTTGCTGCTTTTAAGATTCTCTCTTTATCTCTAACTTTTGGTGTTTTCATTATGATGTGTCTTGGTGTGTCCCTCTTCCGATCCAACTTGTTTGAAAATCTCTGGGCTTCCTGAACCTGTATGTCTATTTCCTTCACCAAATTGGGGACGTTTTCTTTAATTATTTTTTCAAAGTTTTTAGTTTCTTGCTCTTCCTTTTCTCCTTCTGGCTCCCCTATGATTCGGATGTTGATACATTTGAAGTTGTCCCAGAGATTCCTTAGCTTCTCATTTTTTTTAATAATTTTTTTTCTGTTCTAGTTGAATGTTTTCTTCCTTTAGTTCCAAATTGCTGATTTGAGTCCCAGTTTCCTTCCCTTCACTGTTAGTTCCTTGTATGTTTCTCTTCATTTCACTTTGTATAGCCTTCTTCATTTTGCTGCTGTACTCAGTCATTTCTGAGCATCCTGATTATCAGTGTTTTGAACTCTACATCTGATAGGTTGGCTATCCCCTCATCACTTAGTTCTTTTTCTGGAGTTCTGATCTATTCTTTCATTTGGGCCATATTTCTTTGTCTCCTCTACTTGTTGGTGCACCTGTTACATTGTAAGCGGTGGAGCCTTAGGTACTCATCAGGGTGGTGCTATATGTCCACGAGTAGTCAGAGAGGTAACAGTTCCACTTGCTTGGCTTTCGTCCGCTTTCAGTTACTTCCCTGCTTCTTGCAAGCAACTGGTGCCCTTTCAGTTGCTGCCCTGTTGCTGATTCCCAAGTGGGTGGGCTTGTGTATCTTCTTGCATCCTATGGGACTCTCAAACGCTCTCTCCTGAGACAGTGGCAGTTTTCCTCCACTGCAACCCCCAGAAGTTTTTATAGCCAGAGGTTATGGGGCTTTTTTTTTTTTTCTGATTTTGGGACCCTGGGTTGTGTTTTGGGACCAGCTGCTACCTTGCCATACATACGTTCTGCCCCGGCTGCCTGTCTCCACCCCTTCTGCCAGTCTGGATGAATGCTTCTTCTTTAACTCCTTGGTTGTTGGACTTCTGTACAGTTCAATTTTCTGGCAGTTCTGATTGCTTTTTGCTGTTTTTATTGGTTGTTATCCTTTCTTTTGTTTTGCAAGGATATGAAGCATATCTACCTATGCCTCCATCTTGGTTGGAAGTCTCTTCTTTTTAAAGAATCTTTTCTTTTTTTAAGTTGATTAAGGTTCTTAAACCTCTATTTGATATGTATATTGCAAGTCTTTTCTCAAAATGTATCAGTTGTCTTTTGACTTTTTTTACATCATTTTCCCCATGCAGAATTTTTATTATTTTTCTATTGATTTATTTTTTATCAATCTTTTTTTGCTTCTGAATGGTCATAGTTGGAAAGCTTTCCTGTGCACTGAAATTAAAGATGGATTCACAGGTTTTCTTCTCTATTTCAAGTTTGCATTTGAGTCCTGATGCATTTATAGTTTATTTTTGTGTGTAATATGAAGTCTAGATTTAATTTTATCTTTTTCCCATTTATAAAAAAGTTTGTCTTGGCCCCAGTGATTTGAGATGCCACTTCATCATATACTAAATATCCATATGTAATTGAGTTTATTTCTGAACTTTGTATTCTGTTTACTACCTTTTTGTCAGTTCATGAGCAAGTAGTGTGCTTTTATTTTATTTAAATTTTTTTAATTTTTAAAATTTAATTGTTGTTCAAGTACAGTTTTCTGTCTTTTATTCCCATCCCAGCCCACCCCCCCCAGTGCTCCCCACCTCCCTCCCATTTCCACCCCCCTTAGTTGTTGTCCATGTGTCCTTTATACTAGTTCCTGTAAATCCTTCCCCCTTTTCCCCTGAAATTTTCTCCCCTCTGGTCACTGTCCCCCTGTTCTCTATTTCAGTGTCTTTGTTTTTATTTTGCTTGTTTGTTTGTTTTGTTGCTAGCTTCCTGTTGAAGGTGAGATCATAAAGTATTTGTCTTTCAGCCCCTGGCTTATTTCACTCAGCATAATGCTTTTCAGTTCCATCCATGCTGTTGCAAAAGGTAGGAGCTCCTACTTTCTGCTGCATAGAATTCCACTGTGTAAATGTACCACAGTTTTTTGATCCATTCATTTACTGATGGGTACCTAGGTTGCTTCCAACACTTGGCTATTGTAAATTATGCTGCTATGAACATTGGGGTGCATCGGTTCTTTTGGATTG